TCCCTCTCTTTCTCTCTGTCTCTCTCTGTGTGTGTCTCTTTCTCTCTGTGTGTGTGTCTCTTTCTCTCTCTGTCTCTCTCTGTCTCTGTCTCTCCCTCCCTCTCTCTCTCTCTCTCTGTATCCGTCTCTCTCTCTCTCTCTGTATCCGTCTCTCTCTCTCTCTCTCTCTCTGTCTCTCTGTCTTTGTCTCTGTCTCTCTTTCTCTCTCTGTCTCTCTCTGTGTGTGTCTCTCTCTATCTGTCTGTCTCTGTCTCTCTCTCTCTGTCTTTGTCTCTCTGTCTTTGTCTCTGTCTCTCTTTCTCCCTCTCTCTGCATTTGCTTCTGGGTGTTCATATCGTGGCATGCTGGCAGGTTTGCTAAGGGAGGGGACACTTTTCCTTGCCTTCAGAAGGAGGAGGAGGAGAGAAGTAATAGGAAATTAAGGGAAAACTTCTTAACAGTGAGAACAATTGTGTATAGGGTTTCTTGCCTAAGCAGGGGGTTGGACTAGAAGACCTCCAAGGTCCCTTCCAACTCACTCACTCACTCACTCAATCACTCACTCATTCATCTAGTTAACTGCAATAAGTGTGAAACTTCAAATGAAGAAAAGATGCATTGGGACAGTAATGCTGTCATGTATTGTAGGGGTATTTCGTGACATTGTAAATTAAAGGCGTACCATGGCTAAGAGCAATAATTAAGTTTTTAAAATCTATCTTGTCCTACGATGGCTTTTTATAAGTAAAAAAGTTTGAAAGCTTGATATGTAAATTTGCAGGTGGGAGAGGGATTTATAATTCTAAAAATTATAAAATTATAAAAAGGAAAATTGATTTTTTTCACGGTTATTAAGCAAATCACTGAAGTTGTTAAGTGAATCATATGGTCATTAAGCGAATCCAGCTTCCTTCATTGACAACAGAAAAAAGGAGCATGATTTAAACTTGCCTTAAATAGGGAATTAAGATTGATATTTTCCTGTCCTGTCGCATTTAGTGCTTTAATAGCTGGAGTCCTGCAGAACAAAAAAAGAAAATATTAGTGGGACCAATATAACCGATTTCACAAGTCAAGTGTGCAAACCTGGATTTTAAAAAGTTGCGTCCATTGCTGTGTACACCAAGATTTTACAGAGCTGAATTATTTCATACTGTAGGTAGAAGTCCACATATTTTCCCTTCCGCACCCCATCCATGTTTCCCAGTTATAGAAAATACAGTTCTTTACTTCCTACACGGGCTTCCAAAAATACTTCCCTCTCAAGAATTTCCCCCCTTTCTTCTCTTTAGGAAAAACTATATTTTGGCTTGAGTTTTGCATGTTAGAAAATAAAAATGATATGTTATCAAAACTATGCGAAAAATCACTGAATGCTTTTTATGGTTTACCCAGAACCAAAGCTAAATCCATACTGGGAGGGATATCAAGATTTCTTTAGACTGAATCATATCCAGGGGTGGGCTTCAAAAGTCTTAGCAAGCGATTCTCTGCCCAGTTGCTGGGTGGGCGTGGCCAAAGTGGGCGTGGCCTAGCCGGCCTCCTGCATCATGGGGGGGGGCACATTTTCACCCTCCCTGGGCTCCGGAAGCTTTCATTGAGCCTCCGGGAGGGTGAAAATGGCCGCCCCAGGCTCCAGAGGTCCTCTTGGAGGCCAGAAACGGGCCCATTTCCGGCCCTCCCTAACTTCCAGGAGCCCATTTTTCACCTTCCTTGAGCCTCTGCGCGAGCCCTGCATTTACCTGGGATCCGCGTGGAGACTCCTGAGAGGGGAGGGATAGGCGTGGCGGGGCCAGCCAGTCGTCGGAACCACTGGTTCGCCGAACTGGCCATAAAATTAGCTACCGGTTAGCTACGGGTTTGCCTGAACCGGGGCGAACTGGTAGTAGTAGCTCACCCCTGATCCTATCACTGTAGATTAAAACTGATGTATGAACCTCCAGATTCACACATACGGTTTAAAACAACCTGTAGAGCTCATTATACTTTTGTGGGGGTGCGTACGGGTGTACCCTTGAGTCAGTCTTGACTCCTGGCCACTACAGTTTGTCCTCAACTTACAACAATTTATTTAGCGACCGTTCGAAGTTACCACGGCACTGAAAAAAAAGCGACTTATGAACGTTTTTCACACTTAACGACCGTCGCAGCATCCCCATGGGCACATGATCAACATTCGGATGCTTGGCAGCTGACTCGTATTTATGACAGATGCAGTAATCCCGGGATCATGTGATCTCCTTTTGTGACCCTTTTGGACAAGCAAAATCAATGCGGAAGCCGGATTAGTAACCGTGCTACTAATTTAACAACTGCGGCAAGAGAAATCATAAAAAGGAGCAAAACTCACTTCACGACTGTCTCGCTTAGCAACAGAAATGTTGGGTTCCATTGTGGTCATAAATCGAGGACTGCTTATACCAGGACAAATCCCTGAAGGTCTTTTTGGCCAAGTTTTTCAGAAGTGTCTTGCCGTTGCGTTCTTCCTAAGGTTGAGAGTGAGGGACTGGCGCAAGGCTACCCATTTGGTTCCGTGCCTAAGAGCAGGGGTCTCCAACCTTGGCAACTTTAAGACTAGCGGACTTCAACTCCCAGAGTTCCTCAGCCAGCAAAGCTGGGAGTTGAAGTCCGCTAGTCTTAAAGTTGCTAAGGTTGGAGATCCCTGCCTAAGAGAACTAGAATTTACAGTCTCCTAGTTTCTAGCCTGGATTCTCTGATTCTACTCGTGACATTAAAAGCAGCTATGTCCAGGGGTGGGCTTCAAAAGTTTCAGCCATTGGTTCTCTGCCTGGTTGCTGGGTGGGCACGGCCATGGTGGGTGTGGCCTAGACAGCCTCCTGCACCATGAGGGGGGGACATTTTCACCCTCCCCGGGCTCCGGAGGCTTTCCTCGAACCTCCAGGAAGGTGAAAACGGCCTCCCCCCCGGGTTCCGGAGGACTCCGAAGGCTGGAAACGGGCCCATTTCTGGCCTACCAGAACTTCCAGGAGGCCTGTTTTTTGACCTCCCGGGCTCCGGAGGCTTTCCTCGAGTCTCTGGGAGGGCAAAAATGGCCTCCCCCGGGCTCCGGAGGCCCTCCAGAGGCTGGAAACGGGCCCATTTCTGGCCTTCCAGAACCTCCGGGAGGCCTGTTTTTCACCCTCCCCAAGCCTCCGGGCAGGCCTTGCACTTTCCTGGGATCCAAAACGGGCCACGTGGGGACTCCCGGGAGGGGCAGGGTGGGGTGGGCAGGGCCAGCCAGGGGTGGGATTTACTGGTTCACCAAACTGCGCACAATCTTAGCTAGAGAATCTCCCGAACACGTGCGAACCCGTAGCAGTCCACCCTGGCTATGTCCTCTTCACCAAAACCTTGCTTGATCCTAAACTTTTTTATTTATATTTTTTTTATTTTTAGCCATTATATTTACCCCAGCACAGGAGATTTCAGGCCTAAGCGGGTTACATTGTGACACTGTTTTTATTTCTACAAAAAAAAAAAACCCACCTTGATAGGGGCACCTTTCCAGAAAAACATACCTTCGATCATCATAAATCGGTGGGTTGGTCCAGTGGTCATAATTGGTCTCCACTCGGTACCACCTTTCAAACAGAAAATATATTTAAAAGCTGCCATGTTAGAACATTTATTTGTTTGTGTTCCACCTTTATTGTTTTTACAAATAACTCGTATCTAGCACACCTCCCTTCAGTTTTCCCCACAACAACAGCCCTGTGAGGTGGGTTGGGCTGAGAGAGAGTGACAGGTGTTTCGTGGCTAAGGTGGGAGTAGACCTCATGGGATCATGGGGATTGGCCCAAGGTCACCCAGATGGCATTCACAGCTAAGGTGGGACTAGAACTCACTGTTTCCTAGGGATTGGCCCCAAAGCACCCAGCTGTCTTTCACGCCTAAGGTGGGACTAGAACTCACTGTCTCCTGGTGATTGGCTCAAAGTCACTGAGCTGCCTTTCACACCTAAGGTGGGACTAGAACTCACTGTCTCCTGGTGATTGGCTCAAAGTCACCCAGGCGGCATTCACGGCTAAGGTGGGATTAGAACTCACCATCTCCTGGTGATTGGCCCAAAACCACCCAGGGGCCTTTAACGCCTATGGAGAGACTAGAACTCACCATCTCCCACTTTCTTACTATTCAATTTTTGTTTTGTATCATTAAGTAACACACAGGACCAGTCTGTGCTATTTTGCTACAAATCCCAGTTAAAAGTCATAAAGGAGCATTTAAAGGTAAACTTAAAGGTTTCGTGTCTGATTCTGGGGGGTGGGGTTCATCTCCGTTTCTTAGCCGAGAGAGCCATAATTGTCCAAAGACATCTCTCCGTGGCCATGCAGCCAGAATGACTATACGCCAAAGGTCTCATTCTCGCGGCCCGTGGGCCAATTGCATCCCGCAGGACGATATCCTGTGGCCCCCACCGTGATATGAAAATATAATATTAGTGTATAATATAAATATAAAGTATAATATAAAGTATAATATTATGCGGTCCAGCCTCACCCAGACTCTGCCTCCAGCGGCCCCCAGGTAAATTGTGTTTGAGACCCCTGCTATACACCAAGGTGCAGTGAACACTCGTACCTTCCCACCAAAGTGGTACCTATTTATCTACTCACATTTGCCTGCTTTCGGACAACTAGGTGGGCGGGAGCCAAGGCAAGGAACGGGAGTTCATCCCATCACGTGGCGCTTGGGTCTCGAACCCGGACTGTACCCCCCTCCCCCACTCCCATAAAGGAGCTCTTACATATTTGCTAAATTTATTTGCCACTTATCCGGCCATGGGATAGCTAAGGCAGCTTACAACAACAAATTATGCTCCCGTCATCCATACCAATTGGTAAATTGCTTGCCATTTGCCTTATAAAACTCAGATTCTGTGCAACTTACGCCCCATTTAAAGGATCCAAAGGCCAAACATCTACTGGGCCTATTCTTTTTCTTGTAATTACTGCCCCTTGTTTGGATGTCAAGCCTCCAATGATATAATACACATTGGCTATAATGGGTATCTTGGCGAGCATATAGAAAGCCGTTTCAAAGTCTTCCGCTTCGCTTAGAGTCTACAAAAAAAAAAAAAAAAAGATTGCATGAATTATTCCCAAATTTAGATAAAATTCTGTTAGCCAGACTGTAGTACAGGGGGGGTCAAACTCAAGGCCCAGCGGCTGGATCTGGCTGGCGGGGTGCTTAGATCTGGCCCGCAGGGCCTCCCCGGAAAGAAAGGTCATGCCATGAGGCAAAATTCACCTCACAAATGTCTCACTTAGCCACAGAAATTTTGGGCTCCATTACAGTTGTAAGTCAAGGTCCACATATATATACATATTTTTTTAAAAAAGTTACATACACTTCTGATAAGCCAGCTGGCTGGACTGAATCGAGCCAAAAAGGCTGCCATGGCATTCTCCCACCAGTAGCCAACATCTGTAAAACAGAATATAAACATAATTTATATAATTTATAAACAGACTGCAGGAACCACTTGCATTACTCAGGTGACCCCGAGGACACAGATAAACCTCCTGTCAACTCAAAAAACATTTCTATGCCTGTTTTATAGTCGCCAACGGAAAGCGGAGTGGGGAGGAAGTAGTTGGAAACAGCAGCGCAGCATTTTGGAATCGAAAGTGCATTCATTCATATTTTTCAGACTGTCTCCAAACTTGGCAGCTTTAAGACTTGTGGACTTCAACTCCCATAATTCCTCCTCCGGTCATGTTAGCTCAGGAATTCTGGGAGTTGAAGTCCACAAGTCTTAAACTCGCCACGTTTGAAGACTCTTGCTCTAATTGGAGAACATCAGAGGTGGTATTCAACAGGTTCTGACCAGTTCTGGAGAACTGGTAGCAGAAATTTTGAGTAGTTCCGAGAACCGGTAGCGGAAATTTTGAGTAGTTCGAAATACCACCTCTGACTGGCCCCGCCAACCTCATCTCTTCTCTGCCTCCCATTGAGTCCCAGCTGATCGGCTGGGTCTTCTTTGGTTGCCCTGCACAGGAGAACGGAGCTGGAAAGCAGGCTAGCGGGGTAGGGAGGGAATGGGGATTTTGCAGTATCCTTTCCCTGCCACACCCACCAAGCCACGCCCACCAAGTTATGCCCACAGAACCAGTAGTAAAAAAATTTGAATCCCACATGATTGATGACTCTTGGCTATGGATGTGTTTCGTTGGGGAATATGAATTATGATACACCCAGAGGGCTGGGGGGAAAACCAGGGTCAAGGGTGACAGTGAATTATGTGTCTCACAGTCGGCTAGATCCAGGTCATGCCGACATGTTAACTCCCAATAAATCCTTTGAAATTTTGGAAGTTTGGCTCAAGATTTAATTGGGGTTGCTGGAATCCTAACACCTCCAGGTGCTTCAACAACCCTCTAAAATGATGCAAATGACCAGCTGTCTGCAAGGAATATAAATCTTCCTCATCATCCTGTCAGAGCTGAAGAAGCTTCTGGGATGAGAAGTGAAACGTCTTCAAAAGAAAAAACAAGAAAGTCCAGTTGCCTCTTGAAAAAGCACTTTGGGGACAAACCATGACCTGGGGAACTAAACTTATTTTGAGTATGCTAATAAGCCAGGGAGAAGGCTATCATATAGACTAAAAAAAAGGAAAGAAAAGAGATTGATATACCAGCTAATAGATGGAAAGGGGGATATACAACAGGAGATAGAACAGAAAAAAGAAATTGCCCATAAGTATTTTGAAGAGTTATATAAAAAGGAAGAAGTTAACGAAGATAGAATAAGAAACTATTTAGATGAAGTGAAGGATAAAGCAATTGGGGAAGAAATGGAAAAATTATTAAACAAAGACATTACTTGGTTTGAATTAAAATCAGCAATAGAGAACCAGAAAAACAATAAATCCCCGGGACCAGATGGGATTCCAGGGGAGCTGTACAAGGCAATAGCAGAACAAATAGGACCTCTTATGGTGGAAGTTTTTAATGACGTCTTATTGGCAGCCAGGATGCCGGACTCATGGAGGGGGGCATTGATTTCGCTGATCCCGAAGGAGGATTCAGATCCCCGATATATATATATATATATATAATTATAGGCCGATTTCACTGTTAAATACTGATTACAAAATATTCACTTCTATTATAGCAAGTAGACTAAAAAGAATGTTAAATGAGCATATATATGAAGATCAAAATGAATTTCTCCCGACCAGCCTGCAACGCTGTATTTCTAATTGCTGCGCCACCAGGGGTCATATTTATATGTTATATGGTGGAATCTCCAGGGAGGGAGGGAGAACAATTAACCAGTGGAATGGCTTTGCCTCCAAAAGTTGTGGGTTCCCCATCGCTGGAGGTTTTTAAGAAGAGGTTGGATAGAAATGGTATAGGGTCTCCTGCTTGTGCAGGGGGTTGGGCTAGAAGACCTCCAAGGTCCCTTCCAACTCTGTTATTCTATATTCTATTCTGTACCCCCAAATCCCGTTCTGTTATTCTGTTCTGGAAGTTTTAAGGAGTGCTGCATCTCTTAATTTCCCTCCAAAGTTTCAACCTGCCTTCTCTGGAAGAATGATCTAACACAGGGGTCTCCAACCTTGGGAACTTTAAGACTTGTGGACTTCAACTTCCAGAATTCATCAGCCAGCTTTGCTGAGCTGAGGAATTCTGGGAGTTGAAGTTGAAGTCTTAAAGTTCCCAAGGTTGGAGACCCCTGATCTAACAGACATTCCTTTACAAATGCTACAAAACTGGTCTTAGTTATCAGAATCAGGCAAGTGAGTCAGCAAATTATCAGCTTATGTGGGTAAAAATAAATTTTGCTTTACCTCGTTCATTCCCAGAGATGGAAAACTTGTGTGGACTTTGTCCTGTCCATAAACCGACATAGCCGAAGAACGTAGTGCCTTGGAATTTTACCTGGAAATAATGAAAGGACAGAAGAAGCTGTATTTATTCCACATTGTTTTCAATCTTAAACTCTCTCCAAAACAGGCCAGGGAGGTTGTGAGTCATTTAATTTGATGAAAACCCCCCAGTCTTGACTTAAATGTAGAATAAGAGTTCAAATGCTTTAGGGATGTTAGGAGGTCATTACAATTTGTTTACTACAGCAAAAAAAGAGGAACAAAATAAAGGAAGCAACATTTCTGCATTTGCTCAGTTCCTCTTCAAACCAATTCAGAAGAAAGGTGGTCTCCCTTTATTATTTTTATTATTTATTATTTATATCCCTCAGTCTTTCTACTGTGTGCTGTTTGCCACATTATCCAGGGAAGGGACCTTGGAGGTCTTCTAGTCCAACCCCCTGCTTAGGCAAAAAATCCTATACCGTTTCCAACAAATGGTTATCCAATCTCTTCTTAAAAACCTCTAGTATTGTTGGAGCATTTACAACTTCTGGGGGCAAGCAGTTCAACTGGTTGAGTGTCCTCACTGTTAGGAAATTTCTAATTTGTTCTGGGTTGCTTCTCTCCTTGATTAATTTCCATCCATTTTTTCTTGTCTTGCCTTCTTTGGAGTTTTGGAGAATAGATTGACTTCTTTGTGGCAGCCCCTCAAATATTGGAACACTGCTATCATGTCGCTCCTAATTTTTGTTTTCACTGGATTAGATATACACAATCCCAGCAACCATTCTTCCTATGTTTGGGCCTCCAGCCCCCTAATCGTCTTTGTTGCTTTTTTCTGCACTCTTTCCAGAGTCTCTACATCTTTTTTTTTTATATGATATGGTGACTAAAACTGGATGCAGTTATTATTCTTAAATGTAGCCTTACACTTTATTCTTAAGTGTGGCCTTACTAAGGCTTTATGAAGCAGCAATAACATGTCATGTGATCTTGGTTCTATCCCTCTAAATTAGCTTGTTCAAATTCCACTGCAAAAGATATCAGATGCAGAGTTGACAGAAAACAAAAATGCAAGTTGGAAAGTATTTGATTGTAAATGTATTAACAGCGGCGAGAATTGTATTTGCTAAAAATTGGAAGAGTGAGAAAATACCATTAGAGGAAGAAATTATTAAGAAAATATTGGAATGTGCTGAAATGAGTAGATTGACATTTGAAATTAGAGAACAAGAAGATAAACAATTTTATGAAGTTTGGGATCTTTTTTATCAATGGTTAGATAATACAATATAATAATAGAATAGTTAGAAATTTAGGAAATAACGAATATACATTTTTTCTTGGTCTTGATAACACTTTTAGAATATTTCATTAAGATAGACTTGGTATGATTTTATGATTTGTTATAAAATAAAGTAACTAAATTACAGTTATCTCGCTTAAGTATGAATTAGTAAAATTATAGTCAAATGATTGTTTAATAATGATATTAGGATATATAATTGTTGATTGATAATATGAGTTATTATGTAACATAATTATTATGATGACTATGAAATGGATGCACAGAAAGGAGTGGTAAACCAACCGATACACTGTCTGTAAATATATGAAGAATGATGATGTTTTTTATGTTATGTTTTATGTTTTTTGTGTTTTTGTTTGTCGTTAAAATCAATAAAAACTTTTATTAAAAAAAAAAATGCAAGTTGGAAACTTTAAGACTCATCTTATTTGTGGCATAGTATAGGAATAGAAAATCACATGATAACAGCGCTTTGTTGCACTCCTTATACGGGTCTCTGAGTTTCTGCAATGTGATTCTATAATAAGTTAAATATAAGAATTGTGAAAGTGCCAGATTATTTAGAGTTAGAGCAAATAAAAGTTTCACAACAGTTTTAACAAAGCAATCTTTGTATTTGTTCTAACCCAAAGTCAAATAGTTAGTGTATTTATTATTTAATGTATTTCTATCCAACCACAATTTTTTTTTAAAAAAAAAACTACTTTTGATGTCTTACATAAAATAAAAATGATATAAGAGTATAAAAGTGAGAAGTTTGTTCTGGTGAAGAAGTAATTTGTATTTTCTTCTAATTTTCAATTACTCTGCAATCTTTTCCACATAGCCTCTATGTATTTTTCTCTCTCTCCTTTTCCTTTTAAAAGAAACACATTCATTTGTTTTTTTCTTTAATTGGAACAACTGGGTATTTATTTTTAATACCAAACTTTATGGATGGTTATGTTTATAAGGTTGGACAGAGAGATTCTGAAAAGCAAATGTTTCTAATAAAAGTTGATTTTACTGATGATACATAGCTTGGCTTACTAAATGCATGTACAGGTAATCCCCAAGTTACAACCATTCATTTAGTGATCACTTGAAATTGCAATGGTGCTGAAAAAAATAAATTTCCACTGGTTCTTGCACATATGGGCATCCCAGCATTCCCAAGGTCATGTGATTAAAATTTGGCTGCTTTCAACCGGCATGTATTTATGATGGTTGCAGTCTCAAGGGAGGTACTAATACCACCTATAAAGTCTTAATAAGACCACACCTAGAGTACTGCATCCAGTTTTGGTCAACACAGTATAAAAAGATGTTGAGACTCTAGAAAGAGTGCAGAGAAGAGCAACCAAGATGATTAGGGAACTGGAGGTTAAAACATACGATGAACGGTTGCAGGAACTGGGCCAGGCTAGTCTAGTGAAGAGAAGGACCAGGGGAGACATGATCGCAGTCTTCCAATATTTGAGGGGCTGCCACAGAGAGGAAGGGGTCAAGCTATTCTCCAAGGCACCTGAAGGCCAGACAAGGAATCATGGATGGAAACTGATCAAGGAGAGATTCAACTGAGGAATTTCCTGACAATGAAAACAATCAACCCATGGAACAGAAGTTGCCTTCACAAATTGTGGGAGCTTCATCACTTGAGACTTTCAAGAAGAGATTGGACTATTTGTCAGAAATGGTGTAGGGTCTCCCACTTGGGCGGGGGGTTGGAGTAGATCAGGGGTCTCCAACCTTGGCCACTTTAAGACTTGTGGACTTCAAAAGCAAAGCTGGCTGAGGAACTCTGGGAGTTGAAGTCCACAAGTCTTCAAGTGGCCAAGGTTGGAGACCCCTGGACTAGATGACCTACAAGGTCCCTTCCAACTCTGTTTATCTGTTATCCCAGGGTCTCCACTTTTGAACATCCCTAGCTGGCTTCCGACCAGGGCCATCAATGTGGGAAGCCGGATCCGCTTAACAACCTCACGATTCATTTAACAACTGCAGTGGTTTCTCTTAACAACCGTGGCAAGAAAGTTGTAAAATGGGGTGCAAACCTCCCCCCCTTAACAATCGCCTTGGCTTAGCTAACAGAAATTGTGGTTGTAAGTCAAGGACTAGGAACTGTGTCCTATGCTGCTGCTGCCGACAACATTTTTAATCCCTGCCAGGCTCGCTTTGTACCTGCCCATCCTTGATAAAATCCACATCGATAGTAATCTTGTGTAAATACTCTCCAAAGTCGTAGTCCATATTCCGACCATGATATATATTTCCTTGCTTGTCTTGAGCAACAATACTGGTGCAGAAGCTGTGAGAGAAAAACAGCAGGAGCTTCGTTAGAAAAGGCTAAACTTCTAAATTCATTTTCCAAGGGGGCTTATTTTAATTTAAATTTCATTTTCCTGGGATGCCTACTCATTCCCACAATATTCTTACACCAGAAACAGCCGGGGGCGGGGGGACTAATTAGAGGTAAAGGTTTCCCTCGTTCATACATCCTAGTTGTTTCAGGTTCTAGGGGGCAGTGCTCATCTCCGTTACAAAGCCGAAGAGCCAGCACTGTCCGAAGACGTCTCCATGGTCATGTGGCTGGCATGACTAAATGCCTTCAAAGGTGCACGAAACGCTGTTCCCTTCCCACCAAAGTGGCCCCTATTTTTCTACTTGCATTTTTTTTACATGCTTTCAAATTGCTAGGCTGGAAAAAGCTGGGAAGAGTAATGGGAGCTCAGTCGGTTACGTGGCACTAGGGATTCGAACCACCGAATTGCCGACTTTTCTGATCGACAAGCTCAGCGTCTTAGGCACTGAGCCGCCACGTCCCCTGCGGGACTAATTAAAGTGATGCAAAATCTAGGTTTGAATTTCATTGGCAGCCACTTGTTTAATGACCGTTAAAGTTACAACGGCACTGAAAAATGTGGCTTGCGTCCGTTTTTCACACGTATGACCGTTGCAGCATGGTTATATGATCAAAATTTGGGCACTTGGTAACTGCAAGTATTTATGATGGTTGTAGTGCCTCAGGATCATGTAATCCTAGAGTAGCCCCATAGAGAGATAAATGGCAAATAAACTGAACGAAGGAATAATTAAATACAGCTCTTGTAATAAAAGCAGTCCTAACCCATATCGCATTTATTTCTGGTCTGTCTTCTTATGCTGACCTAATTTTAAATAAGTGGACTGATTAAGCCAGGGGTGTCCAACCTTGGCAACTTTAAGGGTGGTGGACTTCAACTCCCAGAATTTCTCAGCCAGCCATGCTGATGGGGAATTCTGGGAGTTGAAGTCCACCACTCTTAAAGTTGCTAAGGTTGGACACCCTTTGGATTTAGACTCCGGAAAGCATACGAGACAGAAAAAAAACCTAGCACAGGGGTGTCAAACACAAGGTCCACGGTCTGGATGTGGTCAGTGTCAACTCATAAAATATTTCTATGGTCTTCTTAGAGTTGCCAACAGAAAGGGAGGGGGGAGCAGTGTGGCAGCTTGCAAACCGAAAGTGCATTCCATAAATAGTTTTTCAAAGATAGTAACTAGGTGACTGAAGTTTCTGCTGGGCAAAATTTTAAGTGGAGAACATGATTGATGACTGTTGGCTATGGATGTGTCCCATTGGAGAATATGAATTATGAGACACCCAGGGGGTGGTTTTCCCCCAACCCCTGGGTGGTCAAGTCAAGGGTGTCAAGGGTGACAAGGGTGACAATGAATTATGTGCCTCAGAGTTGGCTACACCCAGGCAGCGCTGGACAGTTTAACTCCCAGTAAACCCTTTTTAAGTTTTGGAAGTTTGGCTCAAGGCTCATGATTTAATTGGGGTAACTGCCGGAATCCTGACAGTCAGATCCAACACGCGGGGCCATCCTGGAAAATGTAAGGAGCCAGTCTGTGTTGCTTCGACCCAGTCTATCCAATGGGAAGAGGAAACATGCCAGCAGTTTGGGGAGTGGCATCAAGCTGGCCACGCCCACCCAGTCAGCCATGCCCAATGAGTGGTGACAAGCTGGACATGCCCATCTCGTCGGCCACACCCACCCAGTCAGCCACGCCCACCCGACGCCCCGAGGTCAATCACAGCCCTGATGCGGCCCTCAATGAAATGGAATTTGACACCCCTGACCTAGCACAATATAACAAAGAAAAAGAATGATGCCCATTTAGAAGGAAATAAAACATTCACAATCCTATTGGATGGTTTACCAACCACCCTAAGCCCCCCAAAATCCAAGTTTTTAAAGAACTTTAGGGCTGACCTAAATCTTCCCCGTTCCAGGCACAGCAGAAAGTCCTGGATCTCATCAGATGACATTGTCCCATCGATGTATTGTTAGTGTCCACACGTTTGTTTGTTTTTTAAGAGGAAGGAGGAAGCTAATTTAGAAGCTGACTCTTCCTTTGTGCCAGCTACACAACCTATCTTTTTCCTTGCAAAATGTTTGTCAGCCCTGAAGCCATTTTGGGAGCATCTTCAGGGCTGCCACAGCAAGGCCAGTCGGAGCTGTGGGAACAGGAGGCGAGACGATAGAGATAGCTGGGGGATGTGTAGCCAGCATAAAATTCTTTCTCCTGGGAACCAAGGACGTTCTCACCAGGTGCTGGGAAGGCATGGACTGAAGCAGTGGTGGAATTCCAAAAAATTGCTACCGGTTCTGTGCGCGCACGCACGGAGCATTGTAAAATGGGCAATTTTAAACATGAAAACTTGCCTTTCTGTCAGCTTTGGTGAGTAAAACAGCTGAGGCGTGGGAATCCGCTCTGCTGCGCCTATCAGCTGAGCTACAAACAGAGGAAATATAGAACAGGAAAGAACAGGGGCGGGTGGCGCTGACCGGCGCTACCGGATCACTAGAACCGGTGTAAACCGGCAGCATACCACCACTGGACTGAAGCCACCGGGAGTTGGGACTGTGACCTGATTGGACCATATGATGGACGGGTGGCCCGGGGGCAAGAACTTTAGGGTTTGATTCAGGTGGGGAAAACTTTGAGGAAACTCCAGGCCTCGGAGTTTTGATTGTGTTGGGTTTGTTACTTGGAAAGCTAAGGAGAAGACAGCCTTCTTCCCTTTCCTGATCTTTGCCACGATAGATTTCCCCACCCACCTCTGTTCCTCAGACCCACGAAATGCGTCGCAACACTCACGCAGTGAATTCGTAGGCCAGGTTCAGCAGGAGCCCGTCGCCAACGCTAACCCCGAAGTGTTGGGCAAGTCCCCGAATCTCTCCTTCGTAAGGCTGAGGGATGAAGTTTTCTAGGTCTTCTGCGATAGATCGAATAATGGCATGGACCCATTTGGGGATCACAGAACTGGAAGAAAAGAGAGCCACTGAGCCATTCGTAGCATCCTTAACCTGTTTTATTCTACGTACCTTTCGGTATCCAGGGGAACAGCCGGCCTCTGGAAGTTGTGGGTGCTCCAACACTGGAGATTTTTAAGAAGAGACTGGATAGCCATTCATGCATATTTTATTCCAATTCCATTTTAAATTGCTTTTATCAAATTATCAAACAGTAATTTGTTTCTGGAATTCTGCACTTTGATGTGGCCCAAGGGCTAATCTTTATATATAAACATTCACGCATCATCACAAAATCTCCAGAACCGTAAAGCCTACAAACTTGAAAATTTGGCATGTATGTTCCTCTTGGCTTTTAGGTGCTCACTAAGAAAGCATTTTTCAAAATGACCATCAGAGCATTAGTATTTCCTATATTATTATTAACATGCTCTGATGCTAAGGAGCTCTACTCCCGCTCCCCACCTGAAAATAAATCTGTTCCAACTGCAGTTGAGCTAAGCCACACCCAGGCTCCTTGCTGTCTCCTTCTTGCTCACATAGCAAATACTGTTTCAGTTTCCAAACAGCCCTCAACTCTCTCACAGACTGACAGGACACTAGCCAGATGAATACTGATAGATGCTGGTAGGCAGAGGCAGAATTTTTTTCTCCTTATTTTCCTCCCCCAAAACTTGCCCGATTGCACAGTTTCGTAGCGAAGCACGGATACCCTACTAGTCAATAAATAAAATAAAGATTCATTCATGCAGAATGGTATAGGTTTTCCTGCTTGAGCAGGGGTTGGACTAGAAGACCTCCAGGGTCCCTTCCAGCTCTGATATTCTGAATTCTATTTTGAACCTCCCAAAACCAATGAAATCTTGTTTATAGAAGCAAATCTGGTGAGTCTTCGTATGGGAATTTTCCAGAAAATTTCAGATCTATAAGCCACATGGAAGAATATAAGGAAAGTAACCTTGGGGAAGGCATTTGCCAGCTAATTTGTAGAGGGAGTCCTCAACAGTTCACTTAGTGATGGTTCAAAGTTACAACAGCTCTGAAAAAAGTGTGACTTACGACCGTTTTTCACACTTATGACCTTTGCAGCATCCAACAGGGAGGGTGGAAGGAAGGAATGGTGTTCCTGGTTTGCAGTTTTGCTCAGTTGGGAAGAATCTAACATAGAATACCAGAATTGGAAGGGGCCTTGGAGGTTGTCTAGTCCAACCCCTTGCTGGAGCAAGAGACCCCATACTATTTCAGACACGTGGCCATCCAGTCTCTTCTTGAAAGCTTCCAGTGTTGGGGCACCACCAACTTTATTCAGAATAGAGCTGGAAGGGACCTCGGAGGTCTTCTAGTCCAACCCCTTGCTCAAGCCGGAGACCCTCTAGTCCCATTTCAGACAAGTGGTTGTCCAGTCTCTTCTGGAAAACCTTCCAGTGTTTGGAGCACCCACAACTTCTGAAGACAAGCTGTCCCACTGATTATAATTTGAATAACAGAGTTGGAAGGGACCTTGGAGGTCTTCTAGTCCAATCCCTTGCTTAGGCAGGAAACCCTATACACAATTGTTCTCACTGTTAGGAAGTTTTCCCTTAATTCTCTCCTCCTCCTCCTCCTCCTGAAGGCAAGGAAGAGTGTCCCCTCCCTTAGCAAGCCAGCCAGCAAGCCAGGATACAAACATCCAGAAGCAAATGCAGAGAGAGGGAGAAAAAAAGAGAGAGACAGAGAGAGACGGAGA